GATACACCAAATTCACATTTACTTATTAACCAGTCTCTTATGTCACACAAACAATGTACTGTTGCTAGTGGTAAGGCAAATAGGATTTAACGCTATTTATACAGAAATATTGAATAGAAGTCTTAAGGAACTATAATGCCATTGTAAAGGTCATTGGTTAGACCACATTTGGAGTACTGTGTTTTCAGTATTGGGCTCCTTACCTTCGAAGGGACATTGAATTATTGAAAAAGCTTCAGAGGAGGTTTACTAGGATGATACCTGGAATGGAAAGGTTGTCATACCAAGATAGGTTAAGATCTTTGAATCTATTTTCTCTTGAAAAACAAAGAGATAGAGAGGATCTGTTTGAGGTGTTTAATATTTTAAGGAGATTGATAGTGTTGATGCATCCTCTTTTTTAATATTAAATGGTGAGAGTGGTAAAGTTAGGAGACATAAATATAAATGTTGGCAAAGTAGGGGTCATTTTTAGTCAAGACAGTTTGATGTTTCTTTAGAATGGGTTCCAATAAGATGTAGTAAATGAAATTAATTTAAAGGATTATAAGAGAGGGCTTGAAAATAGTTGAATGATAAGGGCTGGCTTTGAGCGTTTTACTCTTATTTTATAGTTTAGTATTATGGATAGGTCCCTTGTTGTCTTTAAGTTATACGTACATATGCTTTATGTATTTCATAATCTTTCAGTCTTGCTTTTCGCTGTCAATGGTTTAATATCTATATAATTCACGTCCATTATGATATTTATCAAATATAATGCTCAGAGTCAGAAATATTATCAACATCCTCTCTTGTAAAAATAAAAGAGAAGAAGTTATTTAAAAGCTCGGCTATCTCGTAGTTTTTAACAAAAAACTTTTCCAAAAGCATTCTTTAAGGGCCCAATCTCCATTTTAATATTTTGCTTAAAAGAAATATATGAAAGCTACAGATTTGGATGGAAAAGAAATTAGGAAATCCAAAAGCGATTAGGACAAACAGTTAGTAACAATGTAGTTTTAACAGAAAATATATTTTCAAAAATCTTCCATCCTACCTGTCACTTTAAATATTTTAAACATAAGGATCCTTTTATCTTTATATTTATCGGTCTCATCAAATATTCAGTCCAGAGAGCACATAAGGATTACAAACGTAATCGATTTCAATACGAGACACACTTCACAGTTACACTAGTATTCAGCATGACGTTCAAATATAAATCCAATTGAAATTAAGATCCACCATACAAGCTTCTATGTTAAGTCTTATTACGCTAGATTTAAAATCATTTCCAAAGTCGCAAGTCTCTTTTCCAAGGTATTATGTATAAATACAAAATAATAGGCTATAGTTTGCTTAAAAACTATTTTAAAACATTTTGTGCAAGGAAATTGTTTTCTTTCGTTATTAACACTTTCTTGTTCGAATGTGTGTATAAAAATATAGTACTTCCTCTAGTTTTTTCCAGAAAATTTTAAATTGTAGTAAGATAAAAGATAAATATAACTGTTTTACGTTTTTGATTTGAATAAAAAAAATCCATAAAAGTTGAGTACTGTTCCTATCTAAAAGTTAGATATTTTTTTTGTTATTAAGAACAAAGTTGTACAATGGGCTATCTATGCTGTGCCCATCATAGAAATCGAATCCAGAATTCTAGTGTTATAAGCCCTAAAGCTTAACAACTACTGAGGCTATATACGTTTTTAACGTTAAGGCGAACTTTTCTCTTACATTTCTTTAATTGATAACAAGATGTTTAAATGTCATTATTAGTAGATTGGACCTGACAGCGCAATCGCACATCATCTTAACTATCATCATTGACTGGTAGCCTATGATAACACTGTTGATCATTTTAGACGATCTCAAGCGTGGAGCTTGGGTCATTTCTCTGTTTTCAAATTTAAGGCGTCTTACGCCTCATGTGTTTCACAAACGTAATTTCAAATATGTGGTGTGTTACATGCTAGATGTTTCCTGGTATTTGAAACGTGAGAAGTATTTTACATTTTTATCCTCGAAGCGTGAGGTGCATTATACTTTATGGTTTCTATTGTTAAGCGGGTTATTTTGTAAAATGAAGAGTTTAAAATCCACCCTGTATATTGATAACAACAACATTTAAATTCTTGAATGTAGCTACTTATGTGATGAACAAATATTAATCAATCTGGATCCGAATAACACAACTTCTTGGATGAGAAAGTAAATGTTTACAACGACGTGTTATCCCTAAGTAGAGAGATTAACATTACATTTTTACACGAGCACTTGAATTTATTTAACGACTTTTTGTTAATACGTCTATTTTTGTCTTTTTATATAGTTTGTGTTTGACTATAGCACTCAAGTTTGATATATATATATATATGTTTGGCTAGTATCCTATTTCATCTTAACACTAAACATGTTAACAATATCCGTGTCTGTTTCTTCTAAACCAATTACTTTCTTGTTGCACTTTGTATAAGACTTACTACTTTACTTTCACAAAAAGCCAATTGAGGCTGAAACAAATATTTTATAATAATAAAGACAACGCCATCTTTCGTGAATTAAAAACATTCTAACTGATCTTGCATGTTTTTAGTTCACTCAGTATGGCGTTGTCCTTTTTAAAGAGTTTATACTTTTTTCTAACTCACAATGTTTTATGTAAGTAAAAGTTCTTGTGAAGAAAATAAAGGTGTACTTTTACATCTTTTGTAACTAACAGTTTATCCTCAAACCGAATAGCGTGTAAGAAAGGGATAAAAACACTAAATGGGTCAAAAGTTAGTAGATAAATATAGGATTTTTATCCTTCCTCAGCCACCGATTAGGTTATTTAACTGTACGTTAAGCACACGGTTAAACATAGTGGAGGGGGGAAACCTCCAAGA